CAAATGCACAATTTGGTTCCACATAATAGAATCCAACGGTCCAAATTCGTTCTCATTTTTCTCCTAAGATATGTTTTTATCGAAACCGCTCCCTCTATATATATATATATATACACATATATACGTATATATATGTATATATATATACATATATATATATACATATATATACATATATATACATATATATATATACATATATATATATATATATACATATATATATATACAAAAGCTTAACTCCACCTCTTTCTTAAGCTTTCATTTGCTCTAACCCTCCATCAACATTGTGCAAACTAAAGCTGAGTTATTTTAGGTGAGTGACAATAGTCAATGTTACTCCATTGCTACCCTCTGTAACACCCTGGCCCCGCAGGCCCCGAGGTAGTTACTCCAGACCTCTAGTACTGTCCTCACAAACCGCCACTAGCCTTTTCCGCGCACTTTGTCCTCACTCGTGCGCGCCCTAAGAAACTTCCCAGGGGTCACCCATCCCAAGACTACTCTCGTGCAAGCACGCTTAACTTTGGAGTTCTTGGGTGATGAGCTCCCTTAAAGGAGATGCATCTTGTTGGTATGAGTAGTACTATTAATCCGTTTATATTAAATCTCAAGTGTTACAATCACCCCCACTTAGGATCGCAACGTCCTCGTTGCGCCCTTAAACAAATCTCAATCACACCCCAGAATCTTTCCCCCTGCTAAGTGCCCGCCCGATATCCAACGGATCAACACACTGTCGCAGGGTTGCTCTGATACCACCTGTAACACCCCGGCCCCGCAGGCCCCGAGGTAGTTACTCCAGACCTCTAGTACTGTCCTCACAAACCGCCACTAGCCTTTTCCGCGCACTTTGTCCTCACTCGTGCGCGCCCTGAGAAACTTCCCAGGGGGTCACCCATCCCAAGACTACTCTCGTGCAAGCACGCTTAACTTTGGAGTTCTTGGGTGATGAGCTCCCTTAAAAGGAGATGCATCTTGTTGGTATAAGTAGTACTATTAATCCGTTTATATTAAATCTCAAGTGTTACACCCTCCTTCTAAATAATGAAGTTAAAGTTTCATCTATTCTAACCCTATTTCAATCTTTCATTATCAGTATGAAATTCAAGTTAGGTTTTTCATTTTAAAGACAAATTTCCCAGTACTTTTTGGTTGTGGGTTGAACATTTTTGGATTGATTTTAGAATTTGTCTTGGAGGTCTGCCCTATACGTGAGATTCACTTTTTTCATGTTCTTTTTAATTTAATTAAGCACACTTCACTCTAAGCTAAAATATATATCTTAAAATCGAAATTTTAACACTCACTCATGAGGAGTCCAGGCCATTTCATAATAGAGCTGATATTTGAGAATGGAGATAAAACCAAGAAAACATTTGGGAGCGAACCTGGACACTTTTTTGTGATGAAGCATGTAACACTTCCAAAAACTTCTCGAGATAAGGCTATTTTAAATATTTCATAGTGAAAAATTTATTATTAATTTCAACAAAGATTTTACAGTTGCCTACATCATATTGTTTTCATACTTGCGCACAAAATCTAGGAATGGCAACTGAGGCAGGATTCATAAATTTGGAAGGTGGTATGGACGGTGGCAGTTTTATAATGCAGTGTGAAAAATGTTTTTTAATGTTTCCCGAAACCCTTATGTGTATGGTTGTTGATACTGAACTGGAGATCTGTGTTTGGTGTTATACTAAATACGAGCTAGATTTTCTCATTGATGGAGTCCCCCCAACACCGACACTGCCTTCACCGACAGTTATATATGGAGATCATGATCTGGGGTGGTGCTTTAAAATAACTTTTGATACAAATTAAAGTTTGTGGTATTTAAATTACATATGCAAAGGTTGGGGTATTTATCTCACACCCCTTCAAAGGTTGGGGTATTTTATTTATTTTACCCTTAAATGTATTAGAGAACATATTTGGTATAAGTTTGTCAATTCCTTTCAATGAAATCTAATCAATTGCATCCAATATGTATATTTGTATAATTATAGGAATATGAAATTTGTATAATATTTTCTAAAATTTTTAATTTCAATGTTTCGGAAATAATTTCTTATTTGTTTTACATTGCTCGGCGTGGAAATAAATTACTTTTTTGTATTTAGAAATAAAACTTTGTTTAGCATAAAATATACTTTTTTTTGGGAAAGTGGAAGTTATTATTTCCACAGGTTATAAGTATGAGAAACATTTTTTATTTGGTAGATATATTTATTAATGCATGGGCTTTTTTATTAACACGTGTCATTGGTCTGTATCGATTTTCCAATACAGTTATTGTTCGGTTGGTGTGGATCTGTCTATTAAATACCATTTATTTTGGGTACTCAATATTTTTTTATTATTTCGGTCTTTGAAAAAAATAAGGAAAAATTGAAAATAATAATCCCAACAATCCCAACTATTGCCGGTCCGCTAACAATAATCCCAACTATTGGTTATTTTTGTATAATCCCAACTATATGGACCATCCGCCAATAATAGTCCATGACCAAATATTACCTTCTATAAAAGTGAATTTTAAATAGAAATTAAGCGTAAAAATTAAAAGTTAAGATTATTTATAGAGATTACTTGCTATATCTCTTCTCATCCACTTCAGAAAGTACATGAATTTATTTACAGGGACTGTTATTGGCAGAAGGACCCTAAAGTTGGGATTATTCTAAAATAATCGATAGTTGGGATTATTATAAGCGGACCGCCAATAGTTGGGATTATTACAATCAATTTTTCCAAAAAATAATTATTATTAATTGTTTTGGCATCATTGGTCACAACAAATAAAAAAATAAGTGGGCTTTATTTATATGCACCATTCTACTATTTTTTAGATCATTAGTGAATATAATTTGTGTATTAAATAAATTACTTGAGCAATTTTCAAATTGCAAGTTTTGTTTTTTGCCTCTTTTGGTTATTATTTTTATGTCCAAACTAGATTTGTGATTGGATGGTGTGGATTTGATTTTGATTCATTTTGCATAATCATTTTTGTTTGTTTTTTGGTACCCAGTTGTTTAGTTTTTGTAATTATATCGTTAAGCTAATACTATAACTAACAAGGAAATGTGGTGTTGCCTTTAATGAAAGAACCCCCTTCATTCCTATTTGAATTGAATTTTTAATGGATGAGGGTGTATTTTGGCATTGCTCCCTTTGTAAATATATCCCAATATTTTTTAATTTTTGTGTTGCCCTTGGTTGTGCGCTCTTAAAATTTATGTAGATGCTTTTGAAGACGAATTTGTCCCTCATTCTCCAAATCATCCTCGCGGTGTTGATAAGCGTTCAACTACAAGTATTGTACAATGCGACAGCGGTTCAGTACAACATCAAAACACCCCGTTTTTGGATATTAGTAGTGGTAACATTGTTAATGATGTAGTCTGGGTTTTTTTTAACCAACGTTGTGTGGTAATTATATATTGCATAAATAATTTTATTAAAATGTTGTAATATTGTGACAGAAGGTTGCGATAAACAAGCTCCCAAGGAGTCCCAGATTACAGTCCATATGGCTTCAACGTTTGTTGACGTGGAGGATGAGGGCCCCATTGATTATAGTGATGCGGATGATGAGTACGACGATTATGAGACCTTTCTTGCACACAACCATAACAGAGCCGTCGGTGCGTGTTGAACAATAATCAGTAGCATTATCCAACCAAACAAATATGTAGTTTTCTGTAATTTTGTTGTCTGCTTTTGAATTGTAGAGTATTGGGACATTGGTGATGCACAATATGTGTGTGGATTTTGCAATGCCCTTTTTTGGTTTGAGGAACGTGTTGTTTCCATGTCTTCTAAGAAGAATCCTAAGTATTCGTTGTGTTGCTGTCAAGGAAAGGCTGTCTTGCCTTTCATGAAAGAACCGCCCTCATTCCTATCTGAATTGATCCACGGTTTTGATGAACGTAGCAAACATTTCATTGAAAACGTGAGATCATACAACAGTATGTTTTCATTCACCTCAATGGGCGGTAAGGTTGCACAAAATTTTCAATAAAGGAAAGTCTCCCCCAATTTTTAAACTTCATGGGCAAAATTATCACCTAATCGGGAGCCTGTTGCCTCCACCTGGATCAAAGCCTAAGTTCGCCCAATAGTATATTTATGACACGGAAAATGAAGTTCAAAATAGAGTTTCATCTGTTGGGTAAGAAGAGTCTGCATTTATTTAATTTCGTTGCACATTTTATAATGGATTTATAAATCTGATTGTAATTAATTTGTTGCAGTGATGATACTAAGACAAGGAAGTTACATGAAGGTATAGTTGTTGGGTTGACTAAGATGCTCAAGAACAATAATGTGTTGGTAAAATCATTTCATCTTGCTAAAGAGAAAATAGATACGAATAATGTGCCGAATGTGAGGCTGAAGCTAATTGGAAAGCGTTACGGGGATGGAGGACATATAATTTACCGTCTGTTTCTGAGGTCGCAGTTTTGGTCGTTGGAGATTTTGACGAATCTCTGGGTGTGAGGGATATATTGGTTGAAACACAGTCAGGTGCGCTTTAAAGGATAAATGAACTGAATCCGACCTATTTTGGCTTGCAATATCCATTATTGTTCCCTTATGGGGAGGACGGTTACCGTGAGGATACGCCGTTGTCCAAGGGTGGTAATGTTGTTGGAGGTGGTAGACAAAGAGTGAGTGTCAGGGAGTTTCTTGTGTTTCGTCTACAAGAGCGTTGTGACAATCATTCATCAATGTTGAGGACAAAAAGGCTTTTTCATCAATTCATTGTTGACGGTTATACCTTGGTCGAGGCTGTGAGGTTGAGATTTGTTAGGACGCATCCAACGCAGCTTCGTTGTGAGATGTATAAAGGTTTGAGTGATGTTTTTTTGCGTGGAGAAAATGATTCACGTACACAGGGTAAGAGAATTGGGTTGCCTCCTACCTTTACTGGAGGAACACGTTATATGATACAAAATTATCAGGATGCAATGGCCATCTGCAGGTGGGCAGGTTATCCAGATTTATTCATAACCTTTACGTGCAATCCAAGATGGCTTGAGATAGATTGTTTTTTGCATCAGAGGAATTTGAAAGCGGAAGATCGGCCCGATATAATTAGTCGTGTTTTTAAGGTCAAGCTTGACAGTTTGATTAGACATCTGCGCAAAAATAAAGCCTTTGGAAACGTTCGAGGAGGTAGTGTCTCCAGTTCATTCCTTATAACATTAGCCCCATGTCGATATTATTTTACCTCATTTGTTTATTTTGCAGTTGTTCACAAAATTGAGTTTCAAAAGCGTGGTTTGCCTCATGCGCATATTTTGCTGTGGTTAGCGACAGGGTAATATCTGCCGAAATTTCGGATATAAACGTTGACCCAATGTATTATGCTGCAGTGAGGGATTTTATGATGCATGGCCCTTGCGATAATGATGCAAAGTCTGCGCCTTGCATGGTTGACGGTAAATGTACCAAGCACTTTCCTAAAAAATGGTGTGCAGAGACAACAGTGGACGACGACGGTTATCCAATGTATAAGAGGAGATATGATGACCGCAGAATAACCAATAATAAGGTTGATTTGGACAATAGGTTTGTTGTTACGCACAGTCGTTATTTATTGATGAAATATGGAGCCCATATGAACGTAGAGCGGTGTAATCAGTCAAGGTCAATCAAATATTTGTTTAAATACATAAACAAAGGCCGTGACTGGGTCATGGCAGGGTTTTACCAGACAGTTGATGGTGATGCAGGACAAAAGCCAGTTGATGAGATACAAATGTACTATGAATACAGATACATTTCTGCTTGCGAGGCTGCTTGGCGCATATTTGGGTTTGAAATTCAATATAAGACCCCGCATGTTGAACGTCTGAGCTTCCATTTACCGGAAGAGCAAAGTGTTGTTTTTCGCGATGATCAGCCACTGGATTCAGTGGTTCGCGCATCTTCTGTTAAGGATAGTATGTTCACGGCATGGATGGAGGCCAATAAGAAGTACCCGGAAGCAAGACTTTTGACGTATGCAGAGTTTCCTCAGAAGATTGTTTGGAAAAAGAAGACAAGAGAATGAGCTCCCAGAAAACAACCATTCGCTATTGGTAAAGTCTACTATGTCCATCCCGGTAGCGGTGAATCTTATTACATCCGATGTCTTTTGAATCACATTCGTGGTGCAACAAGTCATCAGGATTTGAGAACCTTGAATGGTGTCAATTATGATTTTTTTCGTGATGTGTGCTATGCATTGGGCTTGCTCGACGATGATAAAGAATTCATTGATGCTTTTGTTGAGGCAAGTCATTTCTCGTCTGCCTATTGTTTGAGGATTCTATTTGTAATATTGTTATGGACAGAGTCAATGGCTAAACCGGAGTACGCTTGGAAAAAATGTTGGTCTTTCATGGCTAATGACATACAATATATGTGAAGGCGAATATTACAGCATCCAGGTGGTGATTGCCATGCCTATTTATTATTTCAATATCTTATATACTGACGATGTGAATTTTTGTGACCGTTACTTTCAATTTTATTTAACAAATTATCTTAGCCCTAACGTATTTTCAATTTAACTGTATTTCTTTCCAGATCTAATTCTTTCTAACGACCAATTAGAGAGGTTTGCTTTGGAAGAAATAGAAAGGTTGTTACAAACCTGTGGAAAAAGTTTGCGCGATTACCCTCTGATGCCTACAGTGGTTCTCGATTCGCTCTTATCTTCTAATGACAAACTTATATTTGAAGAATTGGGTTATGATCAAAATGCAATGAAAGAGGAGCATTCAACGTTGTTCAAATCTCTTACGGATGAGCAACTACAAGTGCATGATACGATAATGCGATATGTTGATGAAGAGGTCGGGGGTATATATTTTGTTTATGGGTAAGGAGGTTCAGGAAAGACATTTGTGTGGAAGACCCTTTCTGCTATTAATGTAAGAGATTTTTCATAAAATATTAATAAAATAAAAGTCATGGGCAAAAATATGACTAAAGTGGGGTGAATACACTTTTATAGTCACTAAGTCACTTAATCACTTTGATCTAAAATTTGAATATAATTATAGACATGAAAAGTTACAAAGCCATATTTTTTATCCAATTTTCTTATTTTGGTTATATATTAAGAATTATTTCTGATGTAACTCTACAATTTAAAAATTCCAACTACAACTCTAGCTCTGAAAACCACGCGATCACCCCAACAATCTTATATTCTTATCGAGATGTTGCAACCACCACCACCACCATGGTCTCAAACGTGGCGACTATGATCATCTATAATGAATTGTTAAACCTCCAACTTAATCACTTGCAACGCTGCTCTGCAAGCTTCTTACGGCCACGACTCCACACTTCCACAGTCGTCATTTTTAATCACTACACTTATAATCACTTTGATAATCATCATTCTACACAAACACTTGTAATCAATGACAATGTTATAAAAATGTCACATTTTAAAGCACATTATCATCCCGTAAAAATACAAGGACCTCGGAGGTTGTAAGTTATAACATTGTGTAAACAACTAGCTAAAGGCTGAAGCAGTTTACTCAACACAGATCCATACCATTCGTTGAATTGTAAATGTACAGAAAACCGCTCCCTAAAAAATCATCAACAAAAGTACAAAACATTCCATGGACCCGTAGTATCACATTTTAAAATACAACCAATTAACCAAATTGCTTTCCGCCCACAAGTGCTATTTTTTAGCCAATTGAACTGTACAAGATCATTTCTCAGATGTTGTAACATTGGGTAAACAGTTAGTTGTAGCAGTTTACTCTGCACAGGTCCACAACATTTGTTGACTTGTAATTGTACACAAAACTGCTCCCTCAAAAATTATCAATAAAACATACCCGTCACTGATTTTTATTTTTACATAATGTTTATAACCAAAATCTAGTCTACATGCCTTTAAAACTTCCATCGGCAAAAACATGTGGCTATTGCTACAACATTGACAATTCCACTGGAAACAAAGAACATAAGCATTCCTTAAAGAAGCTTCAAGTGTGGCAAAAATAAACATAAAATTTTTGTCTTATTGTCCAGCCTACTCATTAGTTATAGCAGCTTCTCTGCAATTTGAACAGCATTCAGTGCAGCTCCCTTACGAATTTGATCACCACAAACAAATAGGTCCAACCTTTTCAGAAGCACACATATAGTGTGATTTTAGCACCAAAAAAATATAATAGGAACAGTACATACATACGATGTATACACACACACATACATACACATAAAGAGAGTATGGTGTAGACAGGAGAGTCAAGTAGAAATTCATTTGGAGGCAAAAGAAGTGAACAATTGTTGTGTTAATGAAGTATCTAATAGCTTTGTAATTAATAGCAATAAAAGATTATGTTTAAGTTGTATTAAGAGTTATAAGTTATAAATAAAACTACAATATGTTTAAATAAAGTAATTACATAAACATTAGAAACATAAAAAATTCAGATCTAATCTAGAGACTAGAGATAATAAGATAAGATTACAAAACTCGAGATGTTATGATTTTTTTTTGAAAGTCGAGATGTTATGATTTAAAAATGTAACAATGCAGAGTACTACGTTATATTCAAGCGTGAGAACTCCATCTATAAAGATGGTATAAAATACAATAATAATTAGCTATAGTTATTAATGATCAGCTAAAAAATAAGAAAATAATGCAAAAACATGCACTCATTTAATCCTGCCATTAGTAAACTAACAAAAAAAAGGAATTAGGTCGCTCCCAAGTCCACACATATGTACAAATGGTTGTACTAAATTCAATTCTAAAATTGATAATACTCAAGAAGAATTTTATGCGACGGAGGGAGTACTTTCACGTCTTCTTGAGTAATAATATTACCGTTTTTATTTATTCATAAACGGCTAAATGTTTTTCGATAGTAATTACATATATTAAGTACTTGAGATATAGAGAAAGTAATGTATAGATTAGTCATCATTATTATAAATTATATTGATTGCCATCATCTTCATCAGACAAAAAAGTCAAGACCAAGGGAATGTTTATACAGAGTAGTAGTTAATGTGTCTCTAACAATTATCGTATGTGTAATCCTAATACGTTTATATCGTGTTTTCAATTTTTAGACAATTAGTACATACATACACATTACGCATGAGACAAAAAAAATCAAAGAAAAAATAGTTTCATATGTAACTGTTTTAATTTACCCAAAGTCACCGTCTTGGGAAATGTCACGGCGAATCCTCCCAACGGCAACATCATCTTTGTTGGAAACTGCCAATGGTGTGGGGAAGCTATTTGCAGCACGATCATCAATGACCACTATACCTGGCGCACTGTTAAGAATATCCTTTGCAGTCTCCTGCATATGATAATGATGATGATGATTAAGAAAAGAACATCAAAATCGATAAATTGTTCGAATAGTAAGACCAGAATTGTTTTTTGGCCTATGAAATAGATGAAACATCCCAGATCCAATGACTAGCAGATCCCAAGGAACTTAGATGATTCATTTTACCAACCTTGATGATTAATTGTTTAATTTATTTGACCAAAGTGAATGAAATGCCAAGTGAAAGTAGTGTGAAACCAGCCAGCTCTTTCATTTAACATTAGTGATTGAAGATTGACGTTGCCCAAGTACTTTCCAGAAAAGAATTTGCATGCAATCATAATGTACTCATTCAAACAAAGGCCATAAGAGTTATCAGTGCAAATTGAGGGTAATACACAAAAAACATGTTTGAGTACATGTTTTACATGCACATTAATACATATGCAATTAGACGCACATTATCGCAAATCCTAACTTTAAAGTTTTAACACAAACTCAACAATCAATTAAAAGAAGCTTTTCCACTGCCTTTTAGACAAGCAGTGTTCTTTTAAAAAAATAATCTCTAGTTATACATGTGTTGGCAAAAAATGATCAACCTATTACGAAGATTACTATCGTCATTCACCCTTTCAAGACCCAAACCCTTTTTTCATACAACTCTAAATTTCAATCTCAAATGCTTTTCTATGATGTGATCAACTGCTTCTATGTTTTTCGTGGAAGAGAGAACAAATTGGGGATTTGAAAATAAATTACATTTTTGCCCTTCTATTAACCATATGTTAATACTAAAACTAATGGTGGACTAGAAGTGACACATAACCAATATTGAAAAACAAAAAATGTTGAATTTAAATGAGGGGACTGGACGTGAAAAAGCCTCTATTGTCTGAGCAGAAAAATGGTATTAATTCAAATAGGAATACCCACTTTTTATGAGTTTCCAATATTTTATGAAGCATCTGTGTGACTCTACATTGGTAGATACCAGTCCATCAAACCTAATTGAAACATGTTGATGCATAAAACTGTGCAGATACATAGTCAGAAATGTAAAATATACCAACATTCCGCAAGCTCAATAAAAATTATAGCCCATTATCATTCTCAAATTAAATTGCCAGCAAAACTTGAGTAGCGATATCATAAACTAAACCTAATAAAAAAAAGTACCTCGTTAAGTGGTTTCTCGAATTGAATATTCACACTCTCAGCATGCGCACGCATAACAGGGACTCGTATACATGTTGCTGTTACTTTCACATCCTTATCATTCTACAAAGGAGTTAAAAAGCTTGTTCAAAGAAGAGGCACTAGGGGCATAGTGCAGATAAAGTATTAACCCAGCTGTTAAACTTTTACCCATATCTTCCTTGTCTCTTTTACCAACTTCATCTCTTCTTCATTGTATCCATTTGATTGAATAGATGCATTGTGTGAGAAAAGGTTGAAAGCATACTGCAAGATGTTTAATTAATTTTTTTATGCAAAGCAATATCTTCCATCATATAATAGGTGTTGTATAGCATACAAAAGAAGAAAGTCATAAAAACCTGCTGCTTGAAGATGTTACATGTTGGTTCTTTCCCTTCCAAGACCTATTTCAGAAATGGAAGCACTCAGGACCATCTCACAATGCCTAACGAAAACATTTTTCGAAAGAGATTTTACATATAAAGGAACATTAGGACAATACAATAGAAAACCTCACGAGTTTGCTGAACAAGCTCTTCCATGGCAGCAGCACCAGCACCACTGGCAGCCTGGTAAGTGCTAACTACCATGCGTTTAACCTATGACAAGATGAAGAACATGCATATAAATTTAATAAGTGATTTCCTCTTATCTATGGGGAATACAAGATGGGTATGATATCTTTTGTGAATTTTAAATAAGATTCCAAGTGTGATGGTTGGTTGAAAAGCTATGACAATGCAGAAAAATAGATGTTCAAAAACTATAATTTTAAAATCGGGGATAATGACGGATGCATAGCACATACTGCAGAATATACTCTTATTAGTAACTTAGTAAGACAGATTAGCAATAGTCAAGAAAATGAGCCGTGACATAATAATAACAGAGGAGAGATACATCATTGTTGCAGTCCTCTAAGATTCAAGAGTCTGCCTTTTCATAAGAACTACCAACTGATACAACATTAAGTATAAATACCAAAACTTTAGTATAAATACATCACTAAGATTCAAGAGTCTGCCTTTTCTTTTAAGTATAAATACCAAAATTTTAATAAGTAAAATCTACTCCGAGTATAAAACTCATGATACAAACAAACCCAAAATTTAAAGTTATCAAATTTATGAGTAACTTACCTAAATATGACATAAACACATGATGGGCATACTTAGATATAGGGGCTACATTTAATTACACCTTAAAATTTAGGGCAATTATTTCCATTTTTAGTGGGACAAAAAATCACATGTCCAGCAAAATTGTCTGTGTCAATTATTTAAAAGTTACACTACTGGTGCAAATTTGTTGGTAGATGAGCAAGAAAGCCAACAGGTCCATAGAGGATAACTTCAGATCATTCAGTAAAGGAGTGTGACATAAAATAATCAAGAATTGCCCTGAATTTGAAGAACAGACAAAGAGATAGCAGCAGGAATAATGAAACATAGGAAGCAAAGATAGAAATGCATACAGATTTTAACGATTGGGCATTAGCTCATAAGTCATAACTCTCACCTTAGCCCGTCGATGAAGTGGTGTAGCAGCCATTAAGCAAATGATGGTGGAACAATTGGGGTTGGCAATTATCGCTCCCTTCCCAGACCCAACCTTGATATGC